AAACTTCATCCTGTTTAACTCAGACCATTTCTCCAATTTGTCCAGATCATTTTGAATTATGACCCTGTCCTCCAAAGCAGTTGCAACCCCTCCCAGTTTGGTATCATCTGCAAACTTAACAAGCATACATTCTATGCCAATATCTAAGTCGTTGATTAAGATATTGAACAGAGCCGGTCCCAAAACAGACCCCTGCGGAGCCCCACTTGTTATATCTTTCCAGCAGGATTGGGAACCATTAATAACTACTCTCTGAGTATGGTTATCCAGCCAGTTATGCACCCACATTATAGTAGCCCCATTGCAGAGGCATTTCACACAGTGACACCAATCGGGACCCACCTCTGCGCTGTCCCTGGCACTTCGCACTTGCGCCCCCAGGATGATTAAGACCAGGCAGAGCAGGGCCCCCATGATAATGCAGATGACCACGGGTGCCGTGACTCTTCCACTGTCAGTCGGAGGGCGGCGCGGGGGAGCTGGATGGAAATGAACATGCAACAGGGAGAGATTAACCTGTGAGCATTGGAGGAGGGGGGGGTCCTGGGGAGCTCCCCAGTCAGTCATTGCATGGCCCAGGACAGCAGGGTAATGGGCTGGGACAGTCTGTGTGCCATGGGGGCAGCTCACAGGCTGCTGTTTAAATCATGGGCCCTGCTCTGTCAGCTGGAACCAGAAGACAGGAATCCTCTGGCTTTAGCAGGGCCTGCAGCTCCCACCCGGGTGTCCTTCCCCCTCAGATTTCACAGGCCATGGAAAGGAGCTCCTTCCCTCAGGCTGCAGTTTGCAGCTCCTCCTCTGTGACCCTGCAACAGGGAAATTTAACTCTTGATGGGAGGAGGGGGATGCTTTCACTGGGATATTTGGAGAATCTGTCCTCTCTGTCAGATCTGCAAAGGGAAAGGGAGGAGAGTTGGAGGTTGGAGCGAGGGGGAGGTGACATGCTTGTTACCGGGGGAATGTCCCTTCTGAGAGTCCCTGGTTGTCTCCATCTGTCACCTCCACAAACTCCATCACAGCAGCACAGGGCCTGTTTGTTAGTGATTTAGAGTCCAAGTCCTTTGTGCTCTGTGCAGCGATGAGGACTTTAGTTACAAACCAGCACACTGAGGTCTGTGATGGATGCAGGGGTTATGTGGGCTGATGTTTGAGTCAATCTGACCCCACAAAGGTCCCACCCCACAGCATCCATGATGCTCCTGCACACAGGAGATGGAAAGGCCTGGTCTGGGACCAAAGGGATGGGGGGCAGAGGCTGATCCATCCTCCTCCCTGAAAATTACAGCATGTAGCAGAAACATCTCCTGTCACTCACCTGAGCAATTCACAGCAGCATCTTCCTTATGACCACAGTTGCTCTCACCCCAGGGCTTGGCAGGACAGTCCCAGAGAGATGACTCTGTCCCTCTGCAATTCACCGTCTCCACCCAGATGGGACCAGTCCCCTCGCTGAATGCAGCCTCGCCCAGGGCAGATACAGCAGATCCACAGCCCAGTAGTTTACACACAACGTTAGCATCCGCCATGTCCCAGGAGTCATCACAAACTGTTCCCCAGGAGCCACGGTACCAAACCTCCACTCTCCCTGAGCATCTGTCCTTTCCTCCCACGACACGTAACTTCTCCTGGTCTGAAAATGCAGAAACCTCACATGTTACTGGGACAGCTGGGTAAGTCCTTAGGGTCCAAGGGTGAGACACAGAGAAGCAGAGATACCTGTGCAGCTTGGAGAGTTCGGGCATTCGGCAAACAGGGTCTGAGTTGGTTTTGCTTTTTTTCCTATGGAGGGAAAAAGCTGAGGTCAATGCACTGGGTTGTGTGTGTGATGTGGGAGTAGAATTTATCTGTATTTTAAACCCCTAATTTCAGCACTGTATGAACTGAAATGTGAACTCTGGGTCATTTCATACCTAATTAATTTACTATTCAGCTGTTACTCAGACACACAGGCCAACATTGATTAAGTTCCATGTTTGTTGTTAATCAGACAAATGCTTATTCCTGTAAAACATCATGAAAATATGTGTGTATACTGTGTTGAGAATTTAAATCTGCCTACACTGAGATGTGAACAACAACAAGTTCTATCCTAACCCTTCAATTAATAAAACACATTGTGTACATGTGTGTTTGCATGCACGCATGCAGGTAGTTTCAGAATTACCAGTGCAAGAAATATGGGTCTCTTCTGCTCGGTTATCACAGGACTTTGGATCCCAGGGCTCTGACGGGCACTGCCAGAGGGAGCTGTGCTGCTCACTGCATACAATATGGTCCAGCCATGTGGGACCAGAACCTGCTCCATATTCAAATTCTCTTTCAATCTGCCCTCCATCTCCACAGTTCAGCTGTTTGCAGACAATTGCTGCGGCGTCTCCAGACATCTGATTGGAGCAAACACTGCCCCACGTCCCATTGTAGAAAACCTCCAGCCGTCCAGCACAGTCACTGTCACTCACCAGCCTCAGATCTGTGAACTCTAGAAGGAAATGCACAAAAAGGGAATTTAAATCGTCTGATTCTGAAATGAACTGGGGTGTGAAGAGTGAAATCTCAGCGATTGCTAATGATCCTGTGCATCATTCTGCAGGAGCTACTGCTAGAGAACCACTCCAAGAATGAGAGACTCTTTTGCACACCACATGCCCCTTAGAAATACAGTGGGCATTTCTGGAAGGCATTACCAGCAGCTACATTCAGATTGTAATGATAAAGGCCGGGAAGGATTGTGACATTGGCAGGCCAGATGCCAGTTCTTGCTCAGGCTGCACCTGAGAACCTACAATCTCATAGCAGGAGACCAGGCCAGGTCACCTGTATGTTAGTTTTGCTCAAAACAGGTATTAGTCTTGTAAGAATGTATTTAGTGTTTAGACTCTATGAAATGGTGGCTAATTGCTGCAGGCATTAATCTCACTTGTAATGCCTGTGGTCCATGCTACAAGAAAATATGTAAGTTTTGCTTTATAACTGAACATGTTTGCTCTGAACTTGTGAACTCAGGCATGAAAATGATCTCCCGCATCCATCCCTTGCATGTAGTACATGCAGAAGGCCTCATCCCATCCCTTTGAAGGCTGGAATGGGGAAATAAAAATAGCAGATGTGAAGATTGTTCATCTTTTTGGCTGTTTGAACTGTGACAGGGCTAGAGACACCAAACTGAAGCCAGAGACCCCAAGGGGGTCAGCGCATCAGCACTGAAGGACATTTGAAATTGACAGATCACTACAACTCTGTCACTCCTAGGATGTAAATGGTAACTCATTTGTGTGTAGATGTTTGCTTGCTTTAACTGTTTGAATAACCCTTTTATGTGGGGAGGGATAGCTCAGTGGTTTGAGCATTGGCCTGCTAAACCCAGGGTTGTGAGTTCAATCCTTGAGGGGGCCACTTAGGGATCTGGGGCAAAATCAGTACTTGGTCCTGTTAGTGAAGGCAGGGGGCTGGACTCGATGACCTTTCAAGGTCCCTTCCAGTTCTAGGAGATGGGATATCTCCATTTCTTTTTCCTAGTTAATAAACCTTTATATAGTTTGTTACAGGATTGGCTACAGGCATTGTCTTTGTTATAAGATCCAGGGTACCAACTGATCTGAGTAAGTGACTGGTCTCTTGGGACAGGAAGAAACCTGAATGTGGTGTGATTTTTGGTGTAAGTGACCAATTATCACTAAGTCCAGTTTGTCTGGGTGACAGCATAGACTGGAGAGTCTAAGGGGGCTGTCTGTGGCTCCATAGTAAGATAGATACAGTGATACAGGACTAAGTTCCCTCTAAGCTGCGCAGCCATGTGTACGCACAGCAGGCTATCAAAGGCCACATAGGCGCACAGCCAGAGGGGCCTGGACTAGAGAAGCACCTCTTCCCCAGCGCCAGAGCTGCCACAGTGGGGAGAGGTGCCTCTCCCCTGGCCGAGGGCTGCTGCAGCAAGAGAGGGCTTGGGGGAGGTCTCTTCCCGCTGCAGCCCCACGGCAGCCTGCACCCCATAGCCCACACCCCCATGGCCCCACCCCATCCACGGCCCCACCTGATAGCCCACACCCCTAGCCGGAGCTCTCATCCCCCCGCATATTCCCAAATCTCTGCCCCAGCCCTGAGCCGCCTGCCACACTCCAATCCCCTTGGCCCCAAACCCGACACACATCACCTCTATACTGGTGCACATAACAAAATCCATTCCGCACATGGATGTAAAAAATTAGAGGGAACATTGGTCCAGAAGTTCACATCTGTTACTGTTGTGGTGAAAAGTGACAAAGAGTCACCGTATAGACTAACAGACATGTTGGAGTATAAGCTTTCGTGGGTGAATGCCCACTTCGTCAGACGCATGTGGTGTTTCTTGGTGAAATCTACTTATAGACACACCACCAGTTCGGGGTGTTGCCTTGTTTCTCACCATCTGTGCTGAGGTGGGCCCTCAGTGCCGTGAGCCGCGCCAGACAGCGTGACAGGGATCGTGAGATCAAATAGTTTGACCTTCTGTAAAACAGCTCATAGAGCCTAATAACTTGAGTCTGACTTAAGCCTAGCTTCCCGAAAGGCATCCGGGCTAGACAGGGAGACTTCAAGAGATGCAGAATGCCCCATTTCCCTGGTAGTTTGTTCCGATGGTTAATCACCCTCCCTGTTAAAAACCTGGGCCTTATTTCTGATGTGAATTTGTCTGGTTTCAGCTTCCAGCCATCGACTCTTGTTCTGCCTTCCTCCATTAGATTAAAGACCCCTTTAGTAAGTGTATGTTCTCCTTGTGATGGAATTTATGCATTGTAATCAAGTTACATCTTGATCGTTTTGATAAGCTAAACAGATTCAGCATCTTAAATCTCTCACCATAAGGCTTTTCTTCAAGCCCTCAGATCACTTTTGTGGCTCTTCTCTGCATCCTCTCCAATTTCTGTGGACATCAGACCTGGACACAGTATTCCAGTATCTGTCTCACCATTGCCATATACAACAGTAACATTTAGTCCCCTCTCCTACTCACTGCTTCCCTGTTTATACATCCAAGGTTCGCATTATCCCGTTTTGCCACAACATGGCACTGGGAGCTCATATTCAGTTCTTTCTACATTACGACCCCACATGCTTTTCCGTCACTGCTTTCCATGATTCTGTCTCCTTCAGACACCTGAGATGCAGCATTCTAACATTAGGGAAATCTTGCAATATCTCCAATATCTCTGGTGGGAGCTGAGGACTTTCTAATGGTGACCCTGGTAGGTAGTTACACAAGGGAAAGGGAGGCAGAGACAGCCAGGGAAAGTATCATTCTCAGCGATCTCCTTAAACATCTGCCCCCTCCATTATATTGCCTGGTAACCAGGTTCACGTGAGCATTCACAGAACAGACCTGAGCAGAGAACTCCCGCGTCCTCTTTGTGTCTGCAGTTGTGCTGGCCCCAGCCCCTGGAAGGACACGCCCAGAGATCGGATTCCTTCCCAGAACAGTTCACATCATCCAGCCAGATCTGCCCAGATCCTTGCCCATAATGAGCAGAGACAGTTGCACTGATGGCATGTCCACATCCCAGTTGTTTGCAAACGACATTGGAGTCCGGTAGGTCCCAGGAATCATCACAGACTGTCCCCCAGCTGCCATTGTAATAAATCTCCACTCTCCCGGCACAGCGACCTGTCCCATTCACCAGTCTGATCCGCCGGCTCCCTGCAGGGATAGATCCCAGCTGTTAATATGT